TTCGTGAATGAGGGCCACGAGTACGTTTTTGATCGGTTATGCAGTAAAATTTTAGCGATGTGCAACAAGTGGGCGTTATAACGCTAAAATCCACATAAGCGATGGTCGAGGATCAAGAAAATTTAAATGCATTCACATGGATCCAAAGCGGCGAAAGTTATGGTTTTGATGCCAAGTTGACATTATCGCAGATTATAAATAAATGGTTGGAAAATACAGATCAGGCTTGCCAAGGTGCCTTACCGAATACATCTGATTTGTGGATAATGGTTCGACTCGACGAAAGCGTAATGCCATAAAAAATGTTCCACCGAATCCTCTCAGCGTTGAATCACGTGTAATCCCACCAGAATATTGCGAATATAATGTTAAACAAGGCGAGTTAATTTCTTGTTGTCTGATAGCGGACCACAACACGATCGGATCCTGATATTCGAGGGGAAAAGTAGCACCAACACTTTTGTAGATTTCACCACTCTAAGTTGTTTTTGGAACTTTTAAAATATATCCAAACTTATTCACCCAAGTTTATACTGGGTCTGTATTGAAATATGGCGGTGTTCATCACGTTTGCTAGGCTCTTCTTCCTCACAAAAGGAAACGTACAATGCACTGTTTGAGCAACTTCGCTTTTTAATGCCGAATCTTAAAAGTTTTTTTTAGTGTACCTACCCCACACTCGACCCCACATATCATCTATTGTGAAAATTCTTATTTTGGTTCTAACCTTAAGTACCGATCTTTATACTCGTGTCAATGTAGGTTACTATATAGGTATCTATATGAAGTTTGAATGAATAGAATTCATACCGCACATAAAAATTCCTATTCAAAAGCGGGTAAATATTTGCGTTGTGTGTTGAATTCTGAATTTTGACAAAAGTATTTGCCCCACAAATTTGAATATGGTCCCGTATTTACTACGTAATTGTGTGTTGTATTTGCTGAATCCACGTCTGCACATTCACATTCACAAGTCCACATTAGAACTATTGTCCGGCTGTGGCGCAAAGTTCTTTGAAGTTGACTGAAAAACCGACAGCATAGTGGATAGCGTGCGTTATTGCCACGAAATTATTTGTGTAGGTACGTTTTCGTGCGGCGCACATTCCACATTGACAAGAATTTCTGTGCACAAGAGCAATTTTGTGTCAAATTCAACGCACAACGCAAATATTTATCAATGTGGACCCGCCTTTATACTTAAAAGACGATTACTTTCCCAATTTTATTGCTGATACCAACATGTTACAAAAAATAGTTGTACCGTTGTTCCAGCGAATTACGAAGACTGAAATAACGAGATTATGATTACCTCTTATGCACTTTTTAACGTGTTTATAATAAACGGTTTGCCTTTCTAGTCTATGTAGTAATATTGTGTGATATATCACTGTTGAAAAAGATTGACATGAACAAAAGCGTTCTGTACCATTATCGCATGCCTCAAGTTTACATTCCCGTTTACCATTAAATATTGATTACCGTCTCATAATTTCCTTGCAATTGTTTTATGGAATTATACCTACAATGGCTATATATGTATAAGTAACATTTCTTTTACACGACTGATCTAATGGAGGTTCTCGCGACCAGACCACAGCAAAAAGTTGATTTTGTACCAATTTCAATGCGACATACGCGATCGGCGATCGTAAAGTGCAAGAAGTAGACAGTTACCTCCACTCACTAGAGCTAGACCACTACAATATGCAGGACTTGCAGAACATAAGGAAGTCGCCTGAGTTTCTCCATTGTTACTACCTCTCTTTCCCTGTCTAAGGTTACTACCTAATTTAAATAAAATGGGCAAAAAGTGTTATCTCCCTGTTATTTTTATTTCTGAAATGCTAGTAAAGGATTCCTCATAGTAATGACCTGATTAAGCAAGGCAAGCTGCGGTTTAGAGGAAACCGCTGTCTTATTCTCATTAATTTGCGATTATCGATTTTAAACTTATACCTATTA